TCGGCCTCCCAGAGTGCTAGGATTACAGGCGTGAGCCACCGTGCCCGGCCTAATTTTTTTTTTTAAACAAGGCATTTGCCAAAGTTGCCACATATACTCAATGGAGAAATTTAAATTATTACTGCTACTGCTGCTGCTATAACTACCGCCACTACCACCACCACCACCATCTTCAACCTTATATAGGGTTCCTAACTGCCAGGAACTGAGCTAAGTGCTTCACATATATTAGCTCATTTAATTCTCATAACAGTCTTATTGAAATAATTTTTTTTGAAATAGATAATTATTAATCTCATTGTTCACATGTGAAAACTGAGGTAGAGAACTCAAGGTCATACAGCAAGTGGTAGGGCCAGGACTCTATCACAGAGAGTCTAAGCTTACTACGATTATCTTATACCAGTTTCTCATAACAACAGATAATACTTACTATGCCCCAGATACTTTTAAAACACTTAAGACATATCAAACTCATTTAATCCTCATAACAGCCTATGAGGGAGGTTATTATTATTTTTATTTTACAGATGGGGAAAACAGGGCCCAGAATGTCACTTTTAAAAAAAGGTTATTTGCATTTAAAAGGAAGTTGTTTTTTATTTAGTAAAGAACACTTTTCTAATTAGTACATATATGCAGAAAGGACTGCCATTACTCCACTTACATTTTTTTTGCCATCTTATTAATACGTTGCCATAGTTCTTTGCCTCCTTTCCCTCTGTATGAACAAATACTCTCTTCCCAGGTTATTGTTATTCTTGTAACAATAAATTAGCCTTCATTTTTAAGTAGATCTTGACCGATACATACTAGACAATAATGCCAGAGTGGGGAAAAGAATATGTAGATTCTCCCCTGTACATCTCTACCTTACTACTGTCCTCAAATTCTTCTAATGCACAAAAGGATTATGGCAGGTAAGAACAAACTAGGTTCATGTTCTTGTCAGTGCGCTTCTGTCTGTTTATAAGGGACATGCTGCTAAGAGCAAGATCTTTGTCATGTTCCTAAAGAAAACAAAAACTAATACATTCAAGACAAAACTAGATTATTCTTTGAGTCTATACTTAGTAAGACATTAATAACCACTCATTCTAAGGCTAAACTAAGAATACAAAGACCAAAAAGTATTTCAAAATAAAAACTAAAGCTTTACCCACCCCCTCCCGCCTTTTCTTGTTTCTTTACTTACACTCACTATCATCATCTACAAGGTTCTTTGTCATTTGCCTTTTTTACCAAAGTCTGTGTTTCCCAATTATTAACACTGTGGCATCAGATTTTGAGTAACTTGGTTTTCATTTTTTTTTTAAAGGAAACTCATAGTATTCTTACTGCATTCTTAAGTTACCTCTTGGTAAATGCTGAGGAAACATTCTCGGACTCATACCCATATTCACCCAGATGTTAGACTTCTGTGTCCCAGTAGCAAGCATGTGCCACTACACCTAGCTAATTTTTAAATTTTTTGTACAGACAGGGTCTCGCTTTGTTGTCCAGGCTGGTCTCGAACTCCTGACCTCAAGCAATGATCTCGCCTTGGCTTCCTAAAGTGCTGGGATTACTAGTGTGAGTCACCGTACTTGGTCAATATAACAGCCCCACATTTAAAATAACCCATACACCAACATTAACAGTAGCATGTGAAAACACACTATTAAACTCTGCAAAAGGTAAAAAGAATGAGGAAGAATGGTAAGGTAGAAAATGTAAAGAGTATCTACCAATACGCTAATAATAAACAGTGACAGAAAAGAATATTTAAAAAATATGAATAAAATTATTAGAATTTTTATTGGTGATCATTTGGCAAATAACAATGAGTCTATATATCAACTTGCTCTCCCTTATACATATGTATGCTACAAGTATTAATGATCTTAAATAATTAACAGTTTTATCAATTTTTATATTTCATTAGTCTGAAATGCTGGTTTTAGAAAAATAGAAAGCGACATGGAGTAATGGAAAATGTTATCAAGGCAAGAAACAGGAGACCTCAGCTCTATCAGGTAATAAATTAATTGTCTAATACAGCTTTGAGCAATTACAAAATCTAAAGGACCTCCCTCAGAGGCTCCATTTGTAAATCTAGAGAAGAAAGGTGATTTAAAGTACTTTCTAGTTCTAAAGTTACATGATAACTAAATAGTAAAATCTGTAAAATAGTAATAGCTGCTACCTCACAGTTCTCACAAAGACACATGTATACTACTATTAATACAAACGATGATAAACAGAAAAGATTACACCATTCCTCCCTATTCGAATGTTTACAGAAGGAGATTCCATATAGAAGAAAAAGGCCTGGCACATTAAGGAGGGAAAAGATTGGTAAGATCCCACGAGCAGAGAAACAATCAAATATTCAGGCTCAAGTGAATCATAGCAAATCTGGGGTAAACCACTTATGAGAAAGGATGACTTATTTTTCCTGCTCCCTTGGTTTCTGATCTTTTCATTTAGGCATGCCACCATCTGAAACACACAATCTGCCCTCACTGACAATAGTAATTCACATGAGCAAACAGGTTACTTTGTGAAAAGAAAACACTAACTAAAGCTAAGGAATGTTTTAGGCAGATAAAGCTCAGAGTAAGATCAAATTATCCAACATGTTAATACTAATTTTTCTTTTTTTTTTTTTTGAGACAGAGTCTCACTCTCTTGCCTGGGGCGAGAGCCGTGGC